CTTTATGTTTGTCTCTTTTACATCTTTGAAACACTCTTCTGCTCCCATCTCTCTCCTTTCCTCCTTGCTGGGTTATTGGTTTCTATTTCGTAAAGGATTTAAATTTATTTTCATTCACTTATACCACTAATTGAAGTTGCCAATTTTTTCATTTACTATCTGCCCTACAAATTTTTATTGCAGTTCAAGCACCGAAATCCTTCCACGTAGCCCCCTAGCTTATAACTTAGCTATTTCATAAGAAGTACGTAGACAACATAGTGTCTGGATCTATTTTCTGAATGTATTTATACACCTGGAAACAAAGATTTCAAAGCCCAACGAGTCTGTTCTTGTATCGATTTTCGATTAACACTTATTTACCCCCCCCCCCCAACCCCCACCTCTCCTGGAGGAATAAAATTTGGGCGGCAGCTTATTTGAATTCTAAGCAAATTTTACAATTCCGATGTACTACTTGCCTTTAATTGCATTCCTTCAGAATCCGAATTTCAATTTTCATTTCGATATAGGTAAATGAATTTTAGGTCGAAATACCGGATTTTAAAATTTAGCCAGTTCTCGTCTTCACAATCCCCTCCTCTCATTTTCAAATATCGACCACATGTCCTGCTCCTCAATCAATTTGAGCTCCGGCTCCAACTGCGGTTCCAGATAATCTTCTGTTTGGCCTGCTACTGCGGCTTCACACCTACATTCATCAACTATAAACTATCACCATTTTATTGAATCGCCACTAAGGACAAATAAGAGAAAGTTGCTAGATTTTCTGCCGACTGATAGACTTACCTCCACGTGGTGCACCCTGGGCAACGTATACTCATACGGCAAAAAAGTCTATTAATCGGCAGTTGACTTCTGACTCCAAACTACCATCACCCCACTGTATGCCATATTCGACATCTACTACAGTACTCACCTCACCTTTTTTCTACCTTTGTGTCTGTCTTTTTTATATCTTTGAAACCCTCTCGACCTTTTTCACTTTGATGTTCCTTCTCATCTGTGAAGCCTGAAGTCAACTAAAGGGCTAATGATAACTATCAAAACGCCTGCCATTTGATATATATAAATAAAAAATATTTTAGAATGCATAAGGTGTATAAAACGGAACATGAGAAAGTCAAGAAGTTGCATGGACAGAGTGAGTAAATAAAGTAACTCATTTTCATCTCGTTCACTTCAGTAGATTCGTTTAATGACAAAGTGGTAGTAGGATTATTAAGATCAGATTTTGAGATAATAAAATAAAATGGACCGAATACTTTTGTGTTGAAACAAATAAATCGTACTAGTCAAAATCCAGTTGCATAAAATCATTTTATTTATATCAAATGGCAAGCGTTTTGATGGTTATCATTAGCTCTTTAGTTGACTTCAGGTTTCACAGAGGGGAAGGAATATCAAAGTGAAAAAAGTCGAGAGGGGGGGGGGGAACAGAAGAGTGTTTTAAAGACGAAGGTAGAAAAGGTAGAAAAAGGTGAGGTGAGTACTGTGGAAGTAGTCGAATATGACATACTGTGGGGATCATGGCAGTTTGAAGTGAGAAGTCAACTGCCGTATTATAGACTTTTTGCCGAATGAGTATACGTTGCCCAGGGTGCACCACGTGGAGGTAAGTCTATCACACACCCCTGCATAAAATCATTATTGGCTGAACATGACGCACCTTTACTGTGACGCTGGACGTTATGCTACTAGACAGATCTTTTATAGTCGAAAATATTTCAATATTTGCCTGCATCCTCACTTACCAGTCAGCGGTTTAGAGATCAAAGTGTGCTTATGTAGAAATCGCTACATCTGCATAATCTTAGTCTCTGTTATGGTACAAATTACCCCTACTTCTCTTACAGTCTTACGCGTTCGTTGACCTCCTCTGAGTCTTTGGAGTATTCTGTTTTTGCCAATGTAAAACCCACGACCATCCACCTGAAATCGTACCATGAGCACCGTTTTCGCCTTCAAATTCTCCCCCCCCCCCATACCCAATAACTCTCACTGCCCTCCGCTGACTTCAATTCACTCCATTGTCATCACATATTTATTTGCTGCTTCTAATTAAAATATTCACTTTCCTACGTATTTTACATAAATGCACACATTTAATTTCAATTACAAATAATAAGCACGCATTCAGTCATTAATAATAATTTCATTAATAAAAAATCATACAGAGAATAGAAATAGGGGATCAGGAGGCTTAACTTTCACGTTCGAGTGCATGGGGGTGTGGGCCACGTTATCGCCCTGTGCATCATCGTATGCCCGCATGTCTGCTCGCCAGGATTGGGAGGTGCGGCCGTACAACTCTGTGTGCAGCGACCGTACAAACAGTGGCCAATCAACCTCTGTTTAACCTAATCCCCCATCCTGATCATGGTAGCTTCCTGCGTGTACACACTTTATCCGCAACATACCCGTACTGAATGAACGTGCTCCTTGCTACACGTCTGTTTCCTTTATAGCTGGGCTTTAGCTTAGCTGGTTCTGGGAGTCTAGCTAGATATAGGAGGATCTGCCATAGAGATTTCAGAGTTAGTCAGGCTTTAATAAAGTAGCAATTCGCTACAGGGGTGTGCGATAGACTTACTTTCACGTGGTGCACCCCGAGGTAACATATACTCATACGGCAAAAAGTCTATAAACCGGCAGTTGACTTCTGAATTCAAACTACCACCCCCCCCCCATTTTAGGTCATATTCGACCACTTACACAATACTCACCTTGCCTTTTTCTACCTTTATATCTGCCTCTTTTACACCTGTGAATCACTCTTCTGTTCCACATTCCACTTTTTATGACTTTGATGTTCCTCCCCTCTGTGAAGCCTGAAGTCAATTAAAGGGTTAATAATAACTATCATAAAGCCTGTCGTTTGATATAGATAAATAAACGTTCGAGTGCAGTGAAGAAAGAACATGTCGAGGCTTTAAGATTATCTTTACTATATTTAGCATACTTCACCAGGTTTCATTTAATTGTAGTATCTATCGGCCAAAATACTTATTTATGATCCAATAACTTTCTAAATCGGTATAATAAGTATCACGAAATTTTTTGACGCTTATTTTGGAATATTAGGGAAGTTCAACCCTGGAAAGATGGCCGTTACATAAGAGAGGATCAAAGAAATATCAATCGATAATGATCAAAACACATCCATTTGTTAAATAATCGTATGCGACGTACGAATAAGTCACTTGTAGGCATATCTCCCACGTTTTAGTATATTGGAGAAAGAACCCTGTGATACTCTACGTTTATGCGTTTTTAACATTTTGACGCGTATTTTCATTGTTGAATTGCCATGTTTAATTCTAAAGCTTACACTGACGGGAACCTAGTCACTTCATATTGTTGAGTCATCTTGTGACTTGGAAGCACACATTCGAGATTGAGTGGCTAATTGATTCTTTACGCCTTTGTTGTGCCCGAGAGGACGACTTTGGGCTAAAGGGCCTCAACACCATTCAATTAGTCATAAATTCAATCTGAATTCATTCGAATACCAACATGAATTCAACTTAAATGTTTGCATGCCTGGTCATACAGACGTTTTACTTATCAATAACCCCATACGTCACCCTTGTATCATAAGTTTTTTTTGAAATACGGTTTGTATCACAAAGGAGTGCTATTTAACCGAGCTTTAGACTTATATTTAATAAGCTTAATATTACGATTAGTTCTAATAACGCTTAGTGATAAACCAAGATAATCCAGTATAAATCAGAATACTACGATATTCAGACTCAATAGTAAAAGCCTCACAATTTTCAATGTGTATTTCACCTCAGATTGACACCTAGTTTCAGAAAAGGGCAGAAAAATTGATAATTATATTAAGCCCAATTAGAGGTCTTATTTATACGATAAGCAAGAGCTGAGAGAGAGAGAGAGAGAGTAACTTAGAGCGATTGGTATTTCTTATTCTGGCAGAAAGACACGGCCTTCTGCTTCTTCAGGCTCTTCAATTTCTTATCCTCATCCATGATGCAGTCGACACATTCATCGATATCACCATAATTGGCATAACGACCACATTTTTCCATTTTGCCTCTCAATAGTGCAGCAATAGGACTAACGGGAGTATTTGAATTGGAAAAACGGCCACGTCCATGGGGATCTTGGTGCTTTTTTTGCTGATGAGCAGGTTCTCTCATGGTGTGAGTCATTGGATCCCTTTGTGGTTCACCAAAAGAACCCATTGATCCGGATTCGGACCTAGATTCGGATATTGATGAAGGAAGAACACTAGTCGAGGCAACAGCTACCAGAACCAAAGTTAAAATGATGACTTCCTGCCTGTAATCGGTTTAAACAAGTAAATGCTAAGCCAATTAAGAGAAATTTCAATTGACTTGGCAAAGAGTATATTTTTCTTTGCAAATATTGAAATAAATAAGGAAATATTTTTTTGATTTCACCAAACATTTATTGAAAATATATTAGAAATAACGATCTGAAATGGTGTTTTTAATTGTAACATCGAAATTTTTCATCAAATTGGAAAAAATGTTAAATATAAAGTTGAAAGTGATATAAATATTAGCACGAAAGGGGCTATTCAGCAACCTACATTTTGAGATGACTTTGGGTGACAAACACTCCCATCTTATATACTTCTAAATGTGGATTTTAGAAATGGACTTTCATCCTCACTGTCTGGTGTACATTTTATTTTCAAAACAAAACGTTTAGTAAACAGTAAAAAGGCTGTAATAAAAATTAGTCCTGAAAGGGTCAAAGTTGCAATAGATTGCGTAAACAAACTTCCTACTTACCTCCACGCTTGAAAGCTATTGTAAAAGTTTTGAATTCCCATTGTTTGAAGAATATTTCTAACAAAATAGGTGGCTATTTTGTTGAATTCCGACTAAAATTCTAAAACTAATAAGATGAAATAATTCCATTGCCATAATCGATAATTTTTCATACAATTTTAATCAAACAGCACTAATTAATGACCATCTTAAGCCTCTAACAGCCATCTACCGTACATTCCTTCAACCGCTTTGTCCTCTTGCTTCCTTTCATGAGATATTTTACAAAGGCCCGTGCACATCTTGACTTAGGTTCAAAGGAGCATGGCAAGAAGAAACAGGCACTAGGGTGATAGGGTACCTTGGCGGGGTCCAGAGTTATGGGAACGGTTTCAACTGTTAGTTTTAATGGCTCAGAGGTTTGATGCAGCTTTGATTGGGTTGGCACTGCTGGAATTGGAGTAGACACAGGACAGGAAACTGAGCTGAGGTCAGAACCAACGTGGCCAAGGAAACAAAACAAACCTTCACCCTATGGATTACATAACATCTAATTAAGGATGATGGGATTGAAACGAGTCTAATAACTTAACGTTCAGGGGTTCTGAAAGTCAGTAGTAATATAAAGAAGTATTAATAGGAAATTCAATCGTTTATCTTGTGAAGTACTTGTATTTGAGCTTAATTCCTCGGTGGATTGCCTTTCATTTCTTCAATATATTTAAAGTGAATTTTTAGGTCAACCATTATTTTTCCCAACCCTTTTAGCGAGCTAATTATGGAATTTTGTCTAAAAAACTGACAATAACTATAAATAAACCTGGGAACTTTGGCTTTGCTTCGGAAAATTTAATATTTTTCAGAGCTCCCTTAAATCACCGCTACGAATTACTAGGCTTAAAAGTATAAACATCATAGAAACCATTTGAAACTGCTCCGAACAAACAGATGAATATTTTAAATAATATCTGTTTATTACACACAAGATTTTAAAATTATGCAAGTGGTCTGCACACATAGAGGGTAAAAATAAGCTCAAGTGAGCTAGATTTCACTCGAGATCCACTCTCAGAAGTTTGACTGTCTTTTCAAATACCAAAGGTGATATTTCCTGTCGTCAAAATAAGCAGATGCAGTCAACACAATGGTATACGATGTCTTTGAGGTCTTCTGTGAACTACATGAGTAGTTTCAAATACATTGTAGTAATCACAAATTTGACATAAAGAATTCACTTATGCAATTACTGTTTATAAGAATTAACAATAATACATTATTTCTTCCAAATGATTTTCAAGGCAAATATTGTTAAGCCTTATCCGTATATAAAGATGGAAATCACTTTACGAGGCAATAATGAGGAATTACGCGCGTATTATCACATAATCTATCATTCGAAATTAAGTAAAAATTTCAAATGTTGATCAAAGATCTAATCTCAATTTTCACTTATAAATTTTAGTTTGTTTCAGAAAGTGAAATGTTTTCAATAAGAAATACCTGTATTTCCACAAATTTTAAGCAACAAACACTGTCAAGGTTTAAGTATATTCTCGGAAAAACTTGTTTCGTTGAGATGTATATACTAACAATATTTGAGTAGAATGCCTTTTATACACCAGCAATTTGAGTATCAGTTTTAGTTTGTTGGATGTTTTACATAGTGAGGCAAGTAAAATATAGCTTTTTGAAGATTCTAGTAATCTATGTATCACAATATTTCCTTTCTGAACACGAAAGTAGAAATACCTTTTGGGTACATTCAGAGCTCAATAAAAAAACAAAATGAGCATGAAATGCAACATTGATCTTTTATGGAAACATAAATTTAATTTCGGCTATAAACCAATCATCAGAATTGGTTAGTTTGCACTCAATAAGTAAGATTGATCATTTTCCCAATTTTCTATAGGCATAAAAAGATATTGCCACTGCAGAAAAGACGCTTTAAAAGCTAAATAACAAATTTTTCATTTTCCTCTGACAAACATTCATATCATTTATTAAGGCACAGAATAAATAAGCAGTGAATCCGTAAGCAGCATACTCAGTTGTAAGGCCAGAAATCACTGGTCCGATGCCCAACAGCGCACCCCTATTAAGGGGAAAGGTTAGCAGCATTTGGATTTCCTTCTATTCAATATAACCCTGACAGAAATTAGGCGTTGGAAAGTGCGTCACAAAGTAGACCTTTGAAGTGTTACCATTATTAGTTATTACGCATTTTCAAGGTACACTTATTTAGAATTAATTAGAGGTAACTGATACTCTATTTTTCATTTTCTGCCTTTGTTTTTAACCGCAAATAGTTTAAAAAATAATATTCATTCAACTTCGAATTGTTAGATATCGTAATTAAGTAGAAAAACGTTAAGGAGATATTCCATCGAAACACTCATAACCGAACAAATACTGCTGCAAAAGTATCGTTTTATTAAACGCATACAATCGATGGTAGACCAGGATGTAAATATGAAATTGGTAGTCATGCTAAATTGACCACGTTTGAGCCCACATAAACATTGCAAGTTAGAATGCCCAGTAGCAAAGGATTACCTTTTCATTACCTCTGAAGACTTTCAGGTGAAGAAATTCAATTGTATTGATTTGTTTCAAAAGCCTAGTCTGCATTTCTAGAGTTAATGTGGATAGAGTCTAAGCGCCGCCTGAAGGACCATACATTCTCCCCAATAGGGGTTTATGTTAAAACTTGCGCAAAATGATAGTTAAATTGAGATGAATATGATGGCACTTATTTCTTTCATAAAGTATTCGAAAACAAATCTTAGCAGTGATTTTTTTGTTAAACATATTAACACCGAAATATATAAACCATTTTATAACGAAAAGCCGAAAGTCCAAACAATACTTCAATGGCTTTCCTATTCCATAGCGTATATAAACAAGACGTCTTTCTAATGATACCTAGAGTATTTAAATAAAATAATTTGGTTACTAAGGTGGGGACGGGAATCTTCATGTCAGAAATTACGACTAGCGTTTGGACTGAAAGGCATGTAAAAGCTGCACAGCCTAATGACCAATGGGTAGCTCGATTGTTTACATTATATCAAGGTAAATAAAGCTCGCGCTCTAATAGAACATAGCTTTCATTTCTGACATCTGCTCCTCCTCCTCCTCCTCCTCCTTTCCCCTTCACGCCATTCCATCCACTTTTCCTCTCCCTGTTCCCATGGCCTCCAGTCTCCACATACCCCTCTCTTTAAGGAGAGAATGTCAACCCAAATCCAGTCGTAACTGTCCCATGAAAATTGTGTGAGGGAGTGCGCTCCCAGATCTCTGCCGGTATGATTTATTCGAGAGGGCCCACCTTTCGTGGGAGAAAAATGATGGGATTCGGTCGCTGGAGGAGAGAGAGAGAGGAAAGGATAAATAAAGGGCAATAAATGTCTCCATTAGAGATACTTACTGGAACAAGAACACTTTTGAGTTTTTTCCCAATGTCCGAGCGGTGATTATCAATAGCAATCAATCTAAGTTGCTTGGTATTAATTTGGGTAAGTAGAAATTTTTTATTTAATAGAGAGTTTTATATTGATGACATTTAGTATAAATTGTTGCTTGCCCACTTCGGTTAAGAAATTAAAGACAAGGGATTAAATTATTTAGTTTTTTTTAATTAAAAAGTTATTCAGGCTAGAGAGGGAAAGGGGAGGGAGAAGACCTCAGGTTCAAGACTATTTATACATTCACAAATTGAATTTATCCCATATATTTGAATAAGTAACAAACTAATGCCACCTGATTCGCCAAGTCAATGCTAGTCTAGCATATTTAGATGTATGGGAAGAAGTAAACGATAAATCAATGCACTTATAATTCTCTTTTTTGCTACTTAACTAACATCACTCCATCCAAGTAAGTTTTAGTTGAAAATTTCCATCTAGTTCCATCCTTATCCCAATCTTCCTTGTCATTTTGAAGATTGTCAGTTTTGATTTAATAAGTAGCAAACCGTAATTAAATTAAGGAGGCAAAATATACCTGGAATGAAAGTACCACATAACACTGTATTAGTTTGCAGAATCGGCATAATTCAGTGATCTCTGATGATTATCCCTCCAAAAATTAATAAATTCAAACGTATTGAGAAATCTACGTGCATTTAAATCTTCTATTGTGTTCCATAATATGTGTGGAATAGTATTAAATTCCCTTATTTTTTGGCGTATCCCTGATTCATATACTGGAATGGTCTGGAATTTTACAGAACTGACAATAGTCAAAACCTAACATGATATTTGGATTGATATGGTCTTTCTCAGTGTTTCATGGTGAAGTTTTGAAATATAAAGTCAAATATACATAGACACAGAAGATCTATTATTTTTAAAGCAGGCAAGAATTTATGTTTAAATTTAGTCTCTCCTCATTTTAATCAAGAAATTGAAGCCAAACTTCTTCTCACTTCAAACCAACCCCGTGAATATGAGGAAAAAGGTTGGTGGAACATTTGAGTTTACCTGGGCAGCACCGACCTTTCTGCTCTGGCACGATGACATGACCACTCTCGAACCTACTTCAATCGATCGGCAACTTCTGAATATTCATTCACTAACTCTAGAGGACAAATGATGAGCCTGACACATTAGGGTAGTAAAAAGTGAGCAATTCCAATTGGATGAAGTAGGAAAACTCAATGCTCTATATTTCAAATAAAGCAAGGCTCTGGTTGAGTTAGCTTTCTACTATTGAGCATCTCTTCCGTTTATTATTTTCAGATGCTTCCCATGGATGAATAAACTTTTAAAAGTTGTTTTGCACTTCTCTGGATTATGGGGGTAATAATAAAAATAAAGGCGCTACTTATTTACCTATTGATTTCGAAGCGTTTGTTTACCACTGCTCTTTAGATGTATAACGCTATGATTTAGCAATGGAAAATTGGAGGGAAAAAGATGAGAGAGAGAGAGAGAGAAAGGAAGCTAGAGGGAACTCTCGGCCTTATATTACCTCACACAATGTTGCCTTTGCGTGATTGAATTGCTTGGCCATTTGCAGAGAAGCAAAAATGGGAAGTCGTTTTGTCGTAAATAGACATGATGTTCACAAAGTTATGAGAATGACAAAAGTTAATAAACACAATGAGACCGCATCAACAAAATTGATTCCACATAGGGGGGGGGGGGTAGATGTGATTTCTGCAGAAAGACATTGGTCTAAGCTGACTCAAATCTCCAGTAAAGCAAATTTTTATAATTTGACTGAACTTGGCTAACAAGATGCGATAATCTGTCTAAAATTAGAACCTCGAAGGTTGATGTTGACCAGTAGTGTTTCGGTAAATCGTTGAGGAAGGAGAAAAGGGGAATAGAGGAGTAGAGAAGGTGATCAGGGTTATATGCTTGAACTGAATCGTGCGTAATTGACTAATAAAATTTACTTCGCAGTCTTTGTTTGTGCAATACTGATCAGATCTATAAAAGTCGGAGTGCCTAAGTTCTGCACACTCACAGACCTAGTCTTTTTAGTTTAGTAGGCAACGGAAATGACGAAGGAATCGAATTTAGTGATAAAGAGTTTGTGGACGATTTGTGGTTGTCTATAATTCATGCATCCTTTGTCGTGTGGTACAAGTTTATCCAGATCATCAGGGTGCGGATGTGATGAAATAAAAAGCATTACGCAAGGTTGTCCAACTTTTGACAGTTAATTCACTTAGGTCGGGGAGGGGGGGGGCTATCGTTTTCCTCCGGGAAGTCGCAAAGTGGTTATGGACAAGGAGAGCCATTGGCATAGTCGAAGTGCGCACTTGAAGTTTAGGAATATATACAGCAGGGATGGACTTTATGAAAGTGAGCAAATGGCGTGCAACGAAAATGAGGAGGGATAGGCTTTGTGAAGAAAAAGCGATAACTAAAACGACCCGGGGAACTTTCTGCAACGGTCTATCTGAAGGTTCAGGATGTGTAGATCTAGAGTTGTCGAATCGTGAATGACAAGTAACATAGATACGGTGGAATTGTGCAGAACTGTGATAATGACACTTGGATTTAAGCCAGGGTGATGTGTGATCAATAATAAAGTATTAGGGTGAGACTAAAAGATGGCGCGTTAGAAAATAAAGTAGATCTATCCTTATGGATTTGATATCCTTTCATAGAAGTAAAGCTTTTCGTAAAGGCTGACAAGATAATAACGAGTGAGAATACCAAAAGGTTAGGCCAGATAAGCTGTTTCGCATCCGGTTTGAGAGTAACGTGTGAAATGCGGCAGGATAAGGCGGTCAATTCATATCGCGTTCTTTGTTCATTGACAGTAAGGGTCATGCTAAAAAAAACAGAGAAAAGTGCAAGCACAATAGCGCGTGCTATATGAATATTTGTAAACCAAAAGGGTCTGAACGTCTTTATGTTTACGTTCTACTGAAAAATCTCATACTTAAATAAACGGAAAACATAGAAATAGTTAAAACAATAAAAACCTAATTTTACTTTCTCTTGCTAGAAAAAATTTATAAAGACTCAAAAATTAATAAATATGTACAAGCCTGATCATTGTAGCGGATTGCTACCTTGTTAAAGCCTGACAGACTCAGAAATCTCTATGGCAGATTCTCCAACATCTAGCTAGACTCCCAGAACTAGCTAAACTATAGCCCAACTATAAAGGAAACAGACGTGTAGCACGGAGCACGTTTATTCAGTGGGTTATTGTGGGTAACGTGTACACGCAGGGAGCTACTCATGATCAGGATGGGGGATTAGGTTAAACAGAGGTTAATGATTGGCCACTGTTTGTACGGTCGCTGCACACAGAGTTGTACGGCCGCACCTCCCAATCCTGGCGAGCAGACATGCAGGCATACGATGACGCACAGAGCGATAACGTG